GGTGGATATTAACTATATATTTGTGAAAGTAAAGGAATTCATGTATAATATATGTGTGAAAAAATGAAGCGGAAAAAACGACATTTGGTGGCCGAAATATCAAAAATAACGGATGGGCGTCGGTAATCCATTGATAATTACCGACATATGAGTAATGGTATACTGACGGATGACATATTTCTTCGCTAAACTATAAGGATGATCCGGAGGTATGGGATGAAAGATAACCGAGGAAAAAAGGTAGGAAAAAAGAAGGGTGCTACCTTTGGGATAGAAGCCTCATCTGTTAATTTTGTGGTTTCTGGGACACCATCTTTCCAATCTAGCCAGTCCAGCTATTCGGATGCATCACAACTAGAGGTATGTTGTTATGGTTTAAAATTAAGTAGTATGTTGTTCTTATTATTTAAATTGATAATTAAAAAAAGTACATTGATGGTTTAAAAGTTCTGTACTATGTTATTATTATGGATAAAATTGATTATAAAAAAGACATTCTTATTGTGGTTTAAAAGTTAAGTAGTTTGTTGTTAATATTGATTAAATTGATAATAAACAGAAGTACATTGCTATTCTAGTTTAAAAGTTAAGTAGTATGTTGTTATTATGGATTAAATTTATAATAAACAAAAGTACATTGCTATTATGGTTTAAAAGTTAAGTATATTGCTATAATTATAAACTAAACTACACTGTTATAATAAACCAAACTACATTGTTATTATGGTTTAAAAGTTAAGTACATTGTTCTAATAAACTAAAGTAAATTGCTTGTTATAATAAACTAAAGTACATTGCTATTATTGTTTAAAAGTTATGTGCATTGCTATAATAAACTAAAGTTCAATTCTATTATGGATTAAGTATTGAATTGTGTTACCTTTTTTAGGTTGTAAGTTTGCATAAGGAATTTTCTACCGTGCGACAAACACAAGAGAAAATTCAAGAACAAATGGCATTATTTTTGGGAAAGTGGAATATGTCTGGTAATCAACACTCGATATTGTTTGCTTTTGTATTAATTCTTAGTTGATATGAAACGATTGGGTAAAATTTGATATTGAGACATTTTTTTGTGTGTATTTTGACACTTTAATTGTAATGTTTAGTTAGGTTTGTGTTTGAATATGTTATTATCAACGTTTGAGTATTGGTTTTTCTATATATTAACAAAAAAAACTGGAAATTCTAATATTTTACAATTTTTTTTAAAAAATCAATCAAAAATAATGACGGATTAGTGACAGAATATCCATCGGTAGAAGATGTCGTTGGTATTCCGTAGGTAACTAAGTCAAAGAGAGTTAAACATCGTTTGTTGCTAAAGCGTAGCTATCCGTTGGTATTAAAGTCAAACACGGTCAAAGAGACATCCGTCACTAAAGCATACCTAATCCGTCGGTAAAGTAGAGCCGTCGGTAATTTAGCGACGAAACTGGTCATCGGTAGACTATCGCTAATCTGTGGGTATATATTACGCACGATCAAAAACCTGACGACCCACATTCCGTCGGTAATTTGTGGCTATCACCGATGGAATACCGACGGATTATGACGTCGGTATTTCCCGTTTTCTAGTAGTGTAATAACATAAATTAAAGGTAGAGGGTAGAGTCTTTTCAACCTTGCACCTGTCCCGCTTAAAAGGAAAGCTTGACATTACTTACAAAATTTGAACAGAAGTTCTTCAATGACTAATAGATAAAAGCTAGTGTATAGTCATTTCACATCGCGGTGTTAGAAAAAACCTTACAGATCTGAAAATGAACTTAGAAATTTATACAAAAGAAGATAATAACTTGTTTTAAAAATTATTAAAAGAATCTAAGACCTAGTTAATTGTTTGCAATTTTGCATGCATGTTTGGCTTGAGCACAATCAGCAAAGTAAATCTTTAGCATTAAATCAATAATATATGTACGAATTTTCCGTCCGTAAGCTAAAAATATCAAAAGAAGATGTGATGCAGACACTAGTAATATAAGACAACAAAAATCAAAGAAATCCAAAATGAAAATAAATCAAAAAGGAACATGGACTTGGACATCGACATGGGGTAGCACTGAAATGAACAGCATCCTATGTCTACCCCAATTTTCAAATCCCTCCAAAGCTACAATAAATTATTGCAACATAAAAAAAATTATCAATGAATCTCCAAAGATATTAATAAAATAAAAAGGTTATAAATACTCGCGAACACAGACTGAGAACGTGACCAGAATAATGTCTCCATTCTCTCGAGGTACTACAAATGAAGAACGTTGGGAATGAAAGATTTTCATATATTATGTAAAAAGTAGAGCTGAATTTAGGGTAAATTTAGGGTATTGATAAAAACCGATAAACTGGAAATGAGAAAACTCATATAGATGTCATGAAATTTTATGAATATATTTTAGAATGCAGTACGTATGTACTTAAAGTAATGTTTCATTTTATGATTAATGGTTGTTTTTATCTTGTAAAAGAATTAAAATAGAGGGTGTCATCAGTCATGTTAAAGATTATAAAATAATTGTTCGGAAAACATGTGATATTTATTATTATCAAATTATTTTCTTCTGTCGGTTAAAAGTAAACCTAAGAAGGTGTGAGTACTATCATCTATGAGCCACGGGTGTTTAGTGTTGAATGTTGATGCTACAAAACATACTAAGATGATGATTAGTCGCATCTGAATAACTATCAAACAAGAATAAATCTTTTACCCTACATACCCGTGATTCCTAATTAGGGTTTTCTTTTACCTGCGTCACTTTGTGTTGTGACACTCTTTCTTTCTTTCTCTCTCCCTCATTGAGAGAGAAAGTTCAGTAGAAGATCTAAGTAACAAAGTTGGGTCAAAAAAAAAAAAAAAAAAAATTCAACCTGGCTGGAACTGAAGAGACCAATGAATGGTCGATATCTGATCAGTCCTACCACTACTACCATAAATAGCTGGATTTGACAGTAAACAAACTCCCAGTTTCTTTTAGTATTTCCACACTTCGTACTACTATACCACTAGACTGAAAATAAAAGTGAAATCAGACATACCGAACAAGAAAAACCAAAATCAAAAACAAATTTTTATGATTAATATAGTCCCAAGATTTGATTTTTTTTGGTTTTTAAAAGAAGCCCATTTTCTCCTAAAACACATATGTATATATTATAGTATATATAGATATAAAGATAGAAACAAACCGGGAGCGATAAAAGTCCGACCAGGAGAAGCATTGGTGGAAGAAGAGGAGATGGTAAGTGTCGAAAGCTGAGATTCGATTCGTCGCATGAACTCCATAGCTTCTTGTATTGGCCTTGTGAGTTCTTCTTTATACTTAACCAGCATATCATAATAAGCTTCCTGTAGTATTTTTGACGTGTCAAAAGAAAAAGAATCATAAAATCAACAACCCCATTACAAAATATCAGTAAATCGTATGATCAACTTCACAGATCTTATGTGTTAAGCGCAGATGCACTGATCAAGGTGTCGGTCATACCATGAACTGGTCCAGTTCCGGGTCTTTGTAGTTGTCTCTGCAACCACTATCAAGTAAATTAGCCCGTTGTCGTTCCTCGTAATCTTGCCGCACCGCCGTCAGCCTCCCAGCAACTTCTGGTGGCGCTCCCACCTGCATATAGAGAATATACAATCAGTCCTTGAAGAGCTGTACGTATATTGTGTATATAACCTGTAATTATTCTGAGTTCGAGAATTATATGAATTTAGGTCACCTTTTGACAGTCCATGTACGCTTGAAGAAGATTGGAATAGTGAGGGTGGGAAATGATCTTAGCTTTAAGAGCTTCATCTTCGTTATGAAAGCTCATCACAGAAGGGTAATTATGAAATTTCTGGGCACCTCCACTTTCGATCTTTACCACCGGATGATTATGATGATGATGATGGTGATATTGAAGATGATGAAAGCCTCCAGGATTACTTTCATCGCCTATAGTACTACCTCCTCCTCTCCCATACAAAGAAGTATTGGTGGTATCTGGGGAAAGAACCGATCCTCCACCCGACCCGTATAAGAAAGTTGTAGATGGTGTGCCGGTATTATTGCTGCTGTTGTTCTCTCTCATTTGGCCCATGTAATCTTCCATCACTCTTGCTCAAGAAAAACCCTACAGAACAAGAGCTCGGGAGAGAAAGAAAGGATCGATGAAGCAGAAAACGAAAAACCCTAATCAAATTGTAAATTGAAGAAGGCGAATTGTTGTCCTTTTGTTGATGTTTGATGAAAGTCGAAATCAAATATCTTAAGAGTGAATCTTAAAACCCACAGAAGGCAGATGTTTTATTCTCTTTATATCTGATACAAAGCGGAGTTCGCCGGGGCACCGGTGGTGGCGAGAAGGAGGTGCTGAAAAGGTATGACAAGACGTTATTGAGAAAGAATAAAGAAATATTAAGTGAATGTTTGAAAATTGATCATACAAGGAGAGCAGTACAAGTGAGGGAAGACCAGCCTTGTTGATAAGGAAGAGAGAGAGAGAGAGAGAGAGAGAGAGAGAGAAGACTCCTCTCATTCATGGTTAATTCCTTTTCCCCCCTTCAATTTTACGATAGATTCCTTCATTTTCTTTAGGGATCACGAATCCAACACCAAACTTCAACTTTTTACAATATATTTGATGTTAAATCTCTTCAATCATATATCATATTATCATGTTTTAAACTGTTTTCGTGTATAATAAATAATAAAATGTAAAATTTATTTTATATATATATATATATATATATATATATATATATATATTAAAATTTTCAAATATTGTACAATATTAGAGATATTCACAAAAAAATTAAGAAAAACAAATTCATATTTCGAAACTGCCAAAATTTTCAAGATAAAGAAAAATTACCACTCTGTTAAGAACGTGATGTTCTTGACTATTCATTTTTGAGTCGAGCTATCAAAGAAGATGTGAGATGTCACTTAAAGTAAAATCAAAGTGAAGGTACATTCCATACTAAATTCTTGTATATTTAGGATAGTCCTTTAAAATGGAGTAATACTTAAGATACATGAATTCAATGGTTTATTTTTATCTTTGTATGAGTTTAGGGTTTTACTCTTAATTTGTATATCAACACACCATTCTACAATTCAAATGAGTTCATATAATCGGTTTTTTAGAATCTATATTTGTACCGAAGGACAGTGGAAACGAATCAACGATGTTATGTAGTATATGACGTCATTTAAAGACTTGAACAATACTAAGAAACATGATATATGTAATTTCATAACAATGAAAAAACTTGAAAGGGCAGGGAATGTGAAGATGGTTTCTAAACTGCTGAATATATATATATATATATATATATATATATATATATATATATATATATATATATATATAGAGAGAGAGAGAGAGAGAGAGAGAGAAAGAGTTATGTTCCAATGAGAATATTTTTCCCGTGAGAACATTTGAGAATGTTTTTTAGCCTATGAGTTCAAAAAACAAGCGTGTTTGTTATTCAAATACAAATTACCCACCTAACTTCCCCCACCATATTATGTCATTCAAATACAAATAATCGACGCCGGAGATGAAATCCAAACAACCGTAGATCTGTTCGTCACTCACGTCCTCACCTTCTTCGCCGCCAAAGATGGAGTCGTATTGGAAAATATCGACGGGTGGTTCATGAAAGAGGTCCAAGTTGCGGAGTCGCTTGAGATCCTGTTTTAATCGTATACCGTGGTGGTCACCATTGACCCGAGGGGGCTGAGGTAGGAGACTTAAAAGCTTCATATTAACAATATTTCTTCTTATTTCTCTCTGTGCCCTAAATCGGTTTGTCGTTTCCATCTCCACATCACGATGGTCAACTAGTGGATTCCAAGGTTTAATTCATTTAAGTTCTAATAATTAGACAGGCCTATGTGAGGGTAATTATCAACTATTTGGATTGATTACGAGTTCAGCTCTTCCCGATGATCAATTGCATACTCGTGCTCGTTGCCAATTTTAAATCCCTAAACCTCAAACTCAAGCTCCATTTCATCGTTCGTGGAAAGATACTTCATCCTTAAAGCTAATTCGTTTTTAGGGATTTGGGAAGCTCAGTCACGATACACACAAATCTCAGCAAGTATACATTTTGCTTTGAGGGTGGTGCCACGATTTTGAAGAAGTTACATAAGACATTTCAGAATTTGGTGTGCTACCCCTAATATAACCAGGTTCGAATATTTTCACCTATTGTCATCACTGTAAACACAAACGAATGTTGGCATTTACATCTCAAAGCTATCACAGGATATCACCACTTTAGTGATCAAATTTGGTTTTTCAATCTTCTGTGTTATCTTGAAAAAAGCAACAACTGGGATTGTGCACTCCAGGTGTTCGACATATTGCCACAACCATTACTGGTGTTTTTGGTTATCACACTTGATTGTTCTTTTAATATTCACACCAAGTTCTACACCAAGCCTTTGAGAAACTTAGTTTTCACAGCTTCAGTAATTGATAGTGTCATACCACAAAATATATTATCTACACATAATAAATCAGAATGGATTTGTGAACTTTTCGGCTAGTAAAGTTGATATTTATAGAGTTTATCAATGTTGCAGGTGGTCACTCTTATCTCTATAATTACACACACACAATCACAATAGCTAGTAAAGTTGATATATTATATAGATTTTTTATGAACACCAAGTGTTCGATGAAATGCCTCAATGAAAAAGTAGTATTTTTTGTGAAAATCCTTAACTTTGAACCCTCATTAAGCCAAGCATTAAGGCCCTTAGGTTAAATTGAATTTCATATCTTAATAACCTAATAAGTAACCAACAATCATATAAAAAGTGATAAACTTAAGGCTTAACCATTAAGTCCTTAATAGAACACCAAAAGTGATTTAAAAGCTATTATGATCAATTTTCCCAAATCTGTCCTCCAACTTCTAAAATTCGTGCAGGTCAATAAGAACATCTAAAAATCATGAGACTTAGTTTTCTGGAAATCTTAGTTTGTCTAGTTTCTTCAAACTTTGAATCACATTTCGAAATTCCAACTCCTTGAGGGGTAAAATTGGCAATCTTCTCAGGCTGGTCCATGCTGTCACAGATTTCATGCATTGTCTTGAAAAAATCATAATAAATTCATTAGAACTCCAAATGCTAAAATTCCAAATCCTATAATTAGATATGAATGTATAGTTTCCCACATATAAAGGTACTGATGTAATTCTTAGTAGATTGGTACAGTTTATTCCAAGAGTGTTGAGTGGTCTAGAAAGTGACAACCTAAAGTTACTAACTTGTAAATTTAATATAAAATCAACCAAAAATCATTAGAATAGGATCTTTATATTTCTGAAAAGGTAAAAGGGGGAACTTTACTAATATTATTTTATCGAAATTTAATAATGTGTTGAAAGGTAAGAAAATAGATCCCCAAAAGCGCACTACAATCAAAGAGAAAATAAGAAAATATATACATAAGTTTTATAAAAGTAGTAAACCAAAGCACAAGATAAATAATGTTATAATTGTTGTGTAGGTTCTCGGAAAGAAAATGATCCATATTGTTCATGCTAGCTGATTTTCAAGTTCAAGGAGGTGAGTTACATTAACTCTCCTATTAAGGAGGTGAGTTACATTAAATATGTGTAATCACATGTGATTAAGTACACGATAACAACTATTGAATCGAGATCATAAAAATGATTATTGTCCACATAAATCATATGTGATTAGATACATAAAATAATATGTGGCTAAGATTCATTTTCGCGTTCTCGATTCAATAATTGTTTTTTTCCACTTTAATCATACGTGATTAAATACATTTAATCAGATGTGATTATATGATTCTAATCACATATGATTTTATTTGGAAAAAATGAATATTGTCTATATAAATCATATGTGATTAGAAACATACAATCACATGTGATTATATACATGATAACAAATATTAAACCAAGAACACAAAAACAAATCATTATCCAAATTAATCATATGCGATTAAATACATCTAATCAAATGTGATTAAATACGTGAAAAAATTATTAAATCTCAAAACTCGAAAGTGAATTTTATCCATATAAATCCTATGTGATTAGATAAATTTAATCATACGTGATTATATACATGAGAACAATTATTGAATCAAGAACGCGAAAATATATTTTTTTCTATATAAATCATATGTGATTAAATACATATAATCACATGTGATTAAATACATGAGACTAAATATTGAGTCAAAAACGTGGAAATGAATATTGTACATATAAATCATATGTGATTAAATACATATAATCACATGTGATTAAATACACGAGACCAACTATTGAATGGAAAAAGAGTAATAAATATTGTCCACATAAATCATATGTGATTAAATACATACAATCACATATAATTATGCGTATCTAATCACAATAGGTTTATGTTGACAAAATTCATTGTCGCTTTCTCGATTCAATAGTTTTTTTTTCTTTTTTTTTGTATAATCACATGTGCTTATATGTATTTAATCACATATGATTTATATGAACAAAAACGAATCTTGTCCACATTAATCATGTATGATTAAATACATGAGAAAATTATTGAATCGACGCAAAAATAAATATTGCCCACATAAATCACATGTGATTAAAAACATAAAAAATTTTGTTGAAGAGAAAATGTGAAAATGAATCTTGTCAATATAAATCATATGTGATTAGATACAACATACATATAATCACATGTGATTAATTATAAGAGAACAACTAACGAATCACCAACGCGAAAATGCATGTTGTTCACATAAATCATATGTGATTTAAACATATAATCAGATGTGATTATATATGTCTAATCACATGTTATTTATGTGAATAATATACATTGTTTTGTTATTCTAGTGTATTTAATCATATGTGATTACATGTATCTAATCACATATGATTTATTTAGACAAAAACAAATTGTATCCATATAAATCATATGTATATATATAATCATATGTGGTGGTGGCGGGTGGGTTGGTGGTGAGTACTAACTCTCCTATTATGTAGGCATTACGGACAAAAAATAATGATGTCTATATAAATCATATGTGATTAGATACATATAATCACATATGATTATATATACAAGAACAATTATTGAATCGAGAACACAAAGATAAATATTGTCCACATATATCATATGTGATTAAATGCATATAATCACTTGTTATTATATGTATCTAATCACATAGAATTTACGTGGAAAATATTTATTCTCGCGTTCTCGATTCCGTTGTTGTTCTTGTGTGCTTAATTACATGAGATTATATGTATCTAATTAGATATGATTTATATGGACAATATTCATTTTCACATTCTTGTTCAATAGTTGTTCTTGTACATTTAGTCACATATGATTTCTGTACACAAGATTCATTTTCGCGTTTTTGATTAAATAATTTTTCTTTTTATACATTAATCATATGTGATTAATACATACAATCACATATGATTAAATACATAAGAAAAAATATTGACTCGTGAA